CAGTTGGGTGCAAATGGATCTTCAAGAAGAAGACAGACATGGATGGAAATGTGCACACATTCAAGGCTCGACTGGTTGCAAAAGGTTTCACTCAAACCCCAGGGGTTGACTATGATGAGACCTTCTCGCCAGTGGCTAAGATTAAATCTATTAGGATATTGCTCGCCATAGCTGCCTTTCATGATTATGAAATCTGGCAGATGGATGTCAAAACTGCTTTCCTTAATGGGAAGTTGGCTGAAGATGTTTACATGAGTCAGCCAGAGGGTTTTGTTGATGCAAAGTTCCCCAATAGAGTGTGCAAGCTTGAGAAATCCATTTATGGATTGAAACAAGCATCTCGCAGTTGGAATCTTTGCTTCCATGAGAAAGTCAAAGAGTTTGGTTTCTCTAGAAGTGAAGATGAGTTCTGTGTGTATATCAAGGCTAGTGGGAGTATAGTAACTTTTTTGGTGTTGTATGTCGATGACATATTACTCATTGGTAACGACGTTCCAACCTTGAAAGAAGTTAAGTCTTGGCTTGGAAAGTGTTTTGCCATGAAAGACCTTGGAGAAGCTGCCTATATTCTTGGGATTAGAATATTGAGAGATAGAAAGAAGAGACTAATGGACTTAGTCAGAGCACATACTTGGATAAGGTACTAAAGAGGTTTAGTATGGAAAATTCCAAGAAGGGAGAGCTACCTATCCAGAGCAATACCAAATTGAGTAAGACTCAATGCCCGAGTACAGATGTTGAAATAGATGACATGAGTCGTGTACCTTATGCTTCCGCTGTCGGATCGATCATGTACGCTATGACATGTACTCGCCCTGATGTGGCATTTGCTTTGAGCATGGTCAGTCGCTATCAGGGAAACCCAGGTAGAGCTCATTGGATAGCAGTAAAGAATATACTCAAGTATTTGCGAAGGACAAAGGACTGGGTCCTTGTGCTTTTTGGCAATGATACTTTGAGAGTAGATGGTTATAGTGATGCCAACTTTCAGACGGATAGAGATAACTTCCGTTCTCAGTCGGGCTGGGTATTTTTACTGAATGGAGGAGCAGTTACTTGGAAAAGTTCCAAGCAAGATACGGTGGCTGATTCTACTTGTGAATCAGAGTACATAGCAGCGAGTGAAGCGTCGAAAGAAGCAGCTTGGTTGAGGAACTTCATCGGAGATCTCGGAGTTGTTCCAACCATCCAGGAGCCTATGGAACTGTTCTGCGATAATGAAGGAGCGGTTGCCTTGACAAAGGAACCGAGAGATCATGGTAAGACCAGACATATCGACAGAAAGTACCATTTCATCAGACATAGAGTAGAAGAAGGCCATCTTATAGTAAAGAGGGTGTCATCTGAAGATAACCCAGCAGACCCCCTCACAAAGGGTCTGAGTAGGGCTAAGCATATTCAGCATGCTCGGAGCATAGAACTGAAAGATGATATTAGTTTTAGTAGTTAGATTAGTTTTGTTCTGAAACTTGTAACAAAGTAAATGTAATTGACTTTTGGTGATTAAATAATAAAGTATTTATAAGTTTGGTTACTGCCTTTGTCAATTGTTTATTATTGTGTTTCATTTTTGCATGTTTTACTTCCTGAATAATAAGATTATTCAAACTCCACAGTCGCTCGTACTTTTGGAAGTAAGTAGTGAATTAAGACTGTCATGAACTGGATTGTAGATTGTCTAAGGATAGACATGGCAATAGAATTGCTGCAACGTTCATGAGTACTCAGAAATTGAGATTTGAGTATTGGATAAACCCTCGCTCAGAGTATCACTTCATGGAATTCATCACGAGTAATACTGAGACGATAATATCTTATAATCTTGAAACGAAGATATATGAGTTGCAATTTACAAGTCGGTCATGCATTGGTGATACGAAAACGCATCAGTAACTTGGTGTTATAAAACATATTGTCATGTATAATTTGATGAGTAAAAGATACAAGCATATGAGTCAACGTTTATTCGTTCCTTTTGCCCTAACAGGAAAAGCGATATCTGTGGGCCCCTCGATGATTTGGTGTTGACTTATGTGTTGGGCCCAGCCAGGACTAGATTGATGTGTTCGATTAGAAGTCCTACATCATCACAAATCAGGAATCGGGAAACATAGATTCTGGACAAAGAGATTGATTACATTCCATGCCTTTTGTCCAGGGATATCCAGCAGAACGAAGGATTATATGATCACTTATCTTAGGACACGTAACTGACTGGGTCAGAGTTCGGCAGCAGCTTTTGGAAGCTACAATTTGCTGGTCAAATTTAGAAGGCATACTAGCAATTATAGTTACAAACTTATCCAAGTGGGAGACTGTTGGATTAGGTGTCTAAGCCCATAACTATAATTGGTATGTACTTGAATTGATAGCAGCACAGTCCTTTTGGGTTGCCCTCAACCTAGCAACTGGACAAGGAAATTATGAAAGGAGAGATATTAATTTATAAGATTAATGAATTAATATAAATGATTTATTAATATGTTAAAAGATTAATATATTAATTAGAAATCATTATGTTTAATTAATAGTTAGCCAGAAATTAATCAAAATTAATTTTGGGGTTAAAAGAATTAATTATAAAGTGCAGGGACTAGTTTGCAATTAACTAATAGTTGAGTGAAAGGTTCCAGAACCCCCTTGGAAGGAGGTGGACGAAATTCTTAGGGGAAACCCTAGAGATTTCGTCCAAGGGGTCCAAATAAGTCCTTTGGATCTTGCTTAGGCCCTAAGCAAAGGATAACTAGGGTTTTCCCTAAACCCTAGATCCCTCAGCTATTTAAGGAGCCTCCTGGCTCACATTTGAGGACACTGATTTCTTTGGAAGAAACCCTAAGGCTGAAATTGCATACTCTCTCCATCCTCTCTCCTCCAAGTTTCCTTCTTGCTAGTTCTTGGGTGTGATTCCATTAGAGGCATTACATTTGTGGTGCTAAGCTTCCAAGAAGATCAAGATCAAGAGGATTATCAATTGTTTGCTATAACAATTGAAAGGTATGTAACTCCTAAACCCTAGTTTGTTAATTTCGAAATTAGCCTCTCTCCTCTAGGGTTCTTGTTTTGCAATTCAAAGTTATATGTTCAATAGTTAAAACATAGATCCAAAGTAGGTTGCATGTGAACTTAGGAATTGTTTTCTAGTTTATTTGTTTTACCTAAAACCCATCACTTTCGACCCGTAAGTACAGCGATGAAGAACTCACCTCACAGACTGAACAGTAGCTGATGAGGTCCCGACTCCGAATCTCAGCTCTAACTGTCACCCATCCAACCAAATGATCAATCACAATCAAAATCCAAAAATAGCCAAAATACTCTTAGGTCAAACTTGGTAAAAGTCAAAGTCAAACTGGTCAAACCAACTGAGTCAACCCAACCAAGTCAATCCAGCCGAGTCAGCTCATAATGAGTACGCGGGGCGTACTCTGAAGGTACGCTGGGCGTACTCGCATGTTGACCACTACCAGGGTGGTTGACCTTGTTCGCTGGCGGTACTCTTAGAACGTGGAGGCGTACTCCCAGAAGCTCCAAAACTCATTAAGTGCTTAATGGATTGAGCACTCACGTCCATTTTTCAGATCCATGGCTAAAATACCCTCTAGAGTCATAAAGTTTCTAACTTTTCATGTCCATTAAGAGCTTAACTCAACTTCTTAATCCATTAAGACCTTCTAAATGATGCATGGAACAAAAACCAACCATCTGAAACCCATTTTTATGACTCAAGACCTCTCCAAGGGTCTGAAAGGACAGCACAACAGGTCAAGATCATGCTTTGTTCATGAAACACCACATTTGGGACAAAAGAACCTAAAACTAAGCCCAAAACAAGATTTACAAGAAACTACACGAAGTTCAAAACTTGATACCTCAAAATGGTGCCAAAAGGTGGTGTGATCCTGGATCTAGAGAGCTTCACTCCTTCAAGGTGGTCTCCTCTTCCTTCCTTATTCTTCAAAAGCACAAAACACACACACTCAAGCTTAGAAATGCTTCACAAGAGGGATCAGGGTTGCAAAAACGTTTCAATAGGGTGGAGGCTGATGAGGTGAGGGAAAATGAGGCTATAATGGGGTTTAAATATGAGCCAAACCCTAAAAATTAGGGTTTGCATGTCTGGCACGTACACCCTGTGTACCTATGTATGCCCTGCGTAATAAGACGTGCCCTGCGCACTAAGACGTGCCTTAGTACGCTAAGCGTACACACATACGCATGACGTACTCCCTAACCTTCCCAAATTACGAAAATGCCACCAGGACTTCCAATGCACACTTCCTTCTACTTAGGGACCAAAATGCAATATAATTCAATTATAGGGTTAAAATTAAAAATACTTTATCGTCGGGATGTTACACTCCTAATTCTCAAAGTTAGGCAACACAAGTTGCCTCATTTTTAAAGCAATTAAAAATTTTTCTTTCCAAAAGAAAAGTTCCTAGGTAAAGTGAGAAAAGTTTTGAAATTGGTCGGTCCTCCAAAGCTCATCTAGAGCTAATAGTGATAAGATCAAGCATGAAGCTACTTCAAATGATGCTTGTTATAACTGTGACGAAACTGACCACTTTGCTAAAAACTGCAAGTATAAGTCGTTTGGATCCAATGCTGACTTTTATGGAGCGAAATATAAAAGCCAGACAACCTAATACTCCGTAAAAGAAGCACAACCAAAGTTCTTTATTTAAAAATGCTCGCAAATTCGTTTGTTTATAAGACTTAGGTGGGAGTTTCAGAACTTACGACAAAAATTTCGCGAGTTTGAATACACAAGCGAATTCATGACGAAAATTAGTGAGCTTTTCTTGTTAAGAAAATCCGGTGAATTCCTTTATTTTTTTTCTCAATTTAAATGGTTATTTTGTAAAAATGTATTTTTATATTTAATATTATTTACAAGACATATAACATAAAAGAGGTTCTGAATTTGGCCAAGATTTTAAAACACCCTATTTTCAATGATCCATCGTTAATCAATAACCATCAAAAAGTCTCCCATTTTGACCTCCTACCAATTTGCTATTTGCCACATACCAACCCTTTGATCCTTCCTTGCCCCTCTTCACTCACACACCCTTCGAATCCTCTTACAAATTCATCACCAAGATCCAATTCCCCCCGATTCCTCCACCACCATGGCAGACACAACAGCACCACCGGGGCAACCCTCAACACCATCACAACCATCTGTATACATACACCCACGACGGGAGCCCTTCGAGCATGGCCTCATCCCTTTGCCGAAACTCATTTTCACCGATGGTTCACAAACCCTAACCTCCCTCCGTGACAAATTGCTACAATTTCCTTCTACCAACAATCAACACCATCGAATTAACTCCGCCGTTGTTTCTGAATCCCTACAGATCTCCCCCGAACACGCCCGCCTTGTCCTTGACATAATTGCGTCCGTTCTTCACTCTGATTCGGACCCGCTCGTTTCCGCGAAGCCGGATGAGGTTGATGCCGTTGGTGTCAATGTGTATGATCTGATCATTTTCTTGTACATACAGTCGTACAAGCGGTTGCTTCCTAGAGGACATAAGGATTCTGCTGCGGTTGCGGATGTTTGGCCATCTACTTCGGCTTTTGATGGCTTTTTATCGGCGCTTACGCCGTTACAGGTGATTTAATTGATTTTTTTTTTCTGGTTTATATATCAGTTATAAACTGCCAATTTCGCGTATCTCCATTGATTCTTCTATCCTGTTAAGATACTGCTTGTCCGTGAAATAATGCTCTAGATGTGATAAAATTTAAAGCTGTAATTTGGAATTTAAAGCGAAGGAACATAATGTATTTATTCTTGATATGATCTGCTTTACTTTTTTTTAACAACATTGAGCTACCTTTTAACATGATAAAATACATGCTTTATGGCAAGTTAAAATTGGTTTGCTACTTCATAAGACTCCTAGAAATTGTAGCCAGTGGTTGGGTCTTTGAAAATTGTTCAAGATGCTCCATTATTGCCCCAATTTTTCTAAAACTGATTAAGTGAGTACCTTTATATGTGATGAAGTTTGTCAGAGAATTAACTTGTTATAAAGAAGCTTCAAGGTCATAGTTATTGCACCACATTTCTGAAAACATGTCCTTACCAGAATGATGTCTGTCAGGAAACTAAATAATGCATCTTGCAATCCTAAAATTGAAGGAGTGTGCCTCCATTTTTGGTTGTACTACTAGACTACTAGTAGACAGCAATATTTATTTTTTCCTTGCATTAATATCAAGATAGAAGCAATCAATTCATATAAATAATTAACACAATGTTGAGGTGGTTGGAGCTATTTTATGAAATTCCAACAAACCTGCATACTCACTTGATTATGTATGCAACAGCAACACTGACATAATCAATTAATCATCAATCATCATGTTTCAATGATCAGCTTGTTCGCAGCAATAGCAGAAGGTCAATGCCATCACAAGCTGATGAAGAAGCTCATCAGTTAAATTACTTACAGAAACATTTAGGCAACATAATCTCTCTTCTGTCTGACTCTGTTGAAGGTGAAAGCGAAGGAGAAGATTCAATGGTCTGTGAATCATTCTAACCAAACACACCCCATCTTCTTTCTCTATTAACATTCTGCAAAATCTTATCTTGCTTCAAAGTTTGCAGGTTTTGTCAATGGAGAAATTTGAGCATCTTGGGTTTCTTCTCTACTTTGGTGAAAAAGGATTTGAGAAGCTTCCCTTGAGCCAAAACGCGCCTTTTTTTGCAAATTCAGACCCTGATATGCCAGCTGCCCCTGTTCCTGCATCTCAAGTTCATGATTGGATTCTACAAAACATTTCTGATGCTTTAGAGCGTATCTCTGAAAGAGCTGCTGCAAAAGAGAATGGTCAAACCAGTCCCTCTGACCAAGATGTTCTCATGACTGATGCTTCACCTAACTTCAAGTCATCCACAAGTGCTAAAGGTCCAAGTTTTATAGAGGGAATTTCCAAACAATCATATGTAAAACAAGCATCTGAAATCAATGGATCTTTTGTCAAGGTTGTAAATTGCCATGAATCTGTTATCTATGTCTTGGCTCCCTTGAAATATGCCACCATATATGGTTGCTCTGATGCCACTATAGTTCTTGGCCCTGTTGGAAAGGTATGTTTTTTAAAACTCGGAGCACAAGGGTAGTCTTGTAATTTCATCTTTAAATTATTTGTTTTTTTTTTGTCAGGCTGTAAGAATTGAACACTGTGAGAGAGTTCATGTGATTTCAGCAGCAAAACGAATCTGTATTGCTAATTGTCGTGAATGTGTATTCTTTTTGGGAGTAAATCAACAACCACTTATTGTTGGTGACAACCATAAACTACAGGTATAAGCAATGTACGTTATCTTTTTATTTTTAATACAAACTTACATTCTACTATGGGTATATAAGTAAATTTCTATTTTTTTTGTACAGGTGGCACCATACAATACGTTTTATCCACAATTAGAAGAACACATGAAGGAAGTTGGAATTGAGGCGACTCCCAACAGATGGGGTGAGCCCGTTGCATTGGGCCTGATTGATCCACATGATTCTCTCTCTCATCCTGCTGGTGGGTCCGATTGTCAAGCTGAGTCAGCAACTCATTTAGACCCCGATCAGTTTACTAATTTCTTGGTAAAATCATTTGTAATTTCTTTATTAGTCTGGTTTAAGGTTTAGGGTTTAGGGTTTAGGGGTTTGTTTGTTGTTTCAGATACCAAACTGGTTAGAAGGTCAAGCATCTGGACCCACAAAAGATAATCCGTTTCCACTGCCGGATGTTTATATGACATGTCAGCGAAGAAACGTATGTTCATGATCCTAGAAATGTTTATGTATCGCTTAGAATTTTAATTTTTTTTTTTTTAGTTAATGTTTGATTTGATTTTTACAGGAAAATAATTTGGTGGAGGTTAAGCAGATACTGAGAGAAGCACCACTGGAAGATAGTAGGAAAAAAGAGTTGTCAAATGCGCTTCATGTGTACTTTAAAGACTGGTTATATGGTAAATAATGAATTATAATGATGATATAAAAATTGTTTTTATTTAATTGTTGATTTTGACATTTTGTTATGATAATTTGTTGCAGCCTCGGGGAATATTAGACAGCTATATTGTCTGCAAGGTGAGTAGTAGGGGAAGGAAGGGTGAAATTAGTTTGTAATGAAGCTAAGCCCTAAGGACATAAAGCCCTAAATTGGGCAACGTGGTTTTGAAGTTTCTAACTGGGCAATCTACTATTGCCATTTCTGTTGCAGAATCAAGATTGTTTTTTTCTTTTCTTTTTTTTTTAAAGGTGTAGTTTTCTTTGTAATATTTTGGTAACTCATGAATAGAAGAATAAAAAATCAATATTTTGTCGTATGTTTAGAGTTCTCTTCTGAGCTTTGGTTTGTGGTGTTTCAAAATTTAATTTGCTCATCTTAGTTTACAAATGTGAAACTTATTGACATTTTTGGTTATCAAAGAAAAAGTACACTTTTGGTTTTGTTAGGCTGGAAGATGATTTGAAAATCTACATGAAATTAATAAATTTACAGTCTTGTAAAAAATAGTGTGTTTGAAAAAAGAAATGTAAATTTCAGAAACATGATGATACACGAGATTAACATAAAAGTTGATAAAACAAATTGAAGAGTGAAAATAAATTGGATAAAAGACGAGTTTCCGAAAATCTTCGGATTAGCTCCTTTAGACCCGCCGACCCGAAACCGAAACCATCCAAATGTTTTTTCATAAATCAAATATACCCAAATCAGAAGCACTTTATCTGGGTAGAAATAATTCTTTGACATTTATGGAAACGGAAAAACAAATAGAAGTAAAATAAAAATAGCACGAGCCTCCGGCTCCGGCGTTACAAATCTGATACAGAACCACTTGCACTGAGACAAGAGCGTCAGCCGGCGGAATTCAATCCCAGAAAAATGCAGAATCCAGACGACGTTCGGAACCTGCCGATCGACATCGCTTTCGCCCGTCTTGGTGGTACGCATCTCTCTATCTCTACCCCTCACCTCAACTCAATTGTATGATCTATTTCCATTTCCTCTTCCTTTTTGCTGGTTGATTGATTTGCCAATTTGACTGTCTGTGAAGAATGGCTGGTTGATCGGAAGAGAATACCATCGGATTGGAGAAAACGTGTTGCAGTAGTCAAAGCCAAGATTTCTGCCGCCTTTCAGTCTCTTCCTAAAGAAGTTGATCCTTTCTTCCAAACCCTAGACCTAGATGGTTAGCTCGCTGTTTCCTATCACCGATCAAATTAACTAATCTCCTTGCTAACGTTAATTGATTAAATTGTGTAGATTGGTTACTCCACAGGCCCTAACTACGTCTGTTCCACAAGTGAAAAGATATTGATTTAGCTTTTACTTATCTCAAGTTGTTTAAATGAACTTTTGTGTTGCCATACTTTGGTAAAGATTATGGTGTTTCTGGAGAATCATTTTCACCAACTTAGAGCCAACCGATTACATTCCATCTTTCATTAGTCATAACCTGAACTCTGTTACATAGGAAAATAATGTTATTTTGTTGCCAGGGATTGGATACTTGGAGGCTAAGAAAATATATGATATACTTCTGAAATCAACTCCAGAAAGCCGCAACATTTTTGGCAGGCTTTCAGGTGATGCTGTAAGACACAACCAAACAATCTCTCTTTTTATAATTTTTCTCAAACAAATTGCTAAAAAAATCTATCTTACTGTATTTCATTTTTTCATTTCCAACCTTGGTCAGGGTGCTTGGGAAGCAATTGTCCGTGCTTTTGAGAAGGACCATATCTACCTTGGGGAGGCAGCTCAAATCATGGTCCAAAATGTAAATTATGAGATGTATGTTCTTCATCTTACTTGAAAGAAGAACAAATCATACAATTCACATGTCTTCTGGGTATACTTATTATCATTACTGATTCACATTCGTTCTTATTTAAAGCCCATATCAGAAAAAGCTTGTACAAAGGACCCAACAACAACTTGCTGAGCTGGAACGAAAGGAAGCTGATATCAAAAGGAATGCTGCTCTCTCAGCTGCTAAGTATGCAGAAGCCTGCCATGAGTTAGGATTGCAGGGAATCAATGTGAAGCTGGAACTACTAGAAACTGCAACAACTTCATTGCCTGACACATTTAGCAAAATGCTTCAAGTTTTGAACTGTGATTCCGTTTCACAAGCAATTGAATTCTATTCCAATTTTGTTAAAGATGCTCACACAGAAAAGGATGTAAGTTCATATCAAATTTCATTCATTTTGTGGTTTATAGCATTTAACAGAAGTTAATTGTTTCATTGACAGAAAGTTGCTGAGACTGTATTGCCAAATCTAAGGGACATCATTGACAACCCTCCACCTCTTGAAGTTTCTGCAGCTTCTGAAGTGTTGGCTTTTGTTAATGCTGAAAGAAGTTCTAACAATGAGATGAGTTTTGAAGGTGATGCTACAGGTGATAGTATTGATTGGGATATTACTTTGGATAGCTCACAGATTGATTGGGATATTGGGACTGTGGAGGATTCGGGTGATGGATTTGGTGCCTATGAAATTGTTGATGCCAGTGAGATTCCGGGAAGTTCTTTAAAAGATGGAATGGAATCTGATGAGACTGATAAAGAAAAAATGGTATCAGAAATCTCTTGGGATATTGGTGTTGAGAATCTTGAAGATGAATCAACTCAAAATAGTGGCTTGATAGATGTAATGGCATCAGGGATGAATGTTTTAAATCAAAGTCAAGGGATCAAAGACAGGAGTCGGCTTCTGGAGACAGAGTACAGGAGTAGGATTCTTGATGATCTGTTTGAGGTATTATATTAACTTCCTCTTTCCTTTATTTTTTTTAACATTAAGTGTTGAGTAAATTACATTTTTGGGGTCAGATTAAAGCGTTTCTGAATCAAAGAATCATGGAATTAACAAATACAGAGACATTGTCATTACAACATCAAGTTCAAGCAGTGGCTCCATTTGTGTTACAACAGTACACTTCTGATGCTATCCAGTCAATGTTATCAGATGTCTCTTCAGCCATTTCTTTGCTCACAAATAAGAAAACAAGGGACCTCATTATGATTCTCAACTCTAAAAGGTTCGTACTTTACATAAATTTTATTTAAAAGTGTACATAGTTTTGAGTTTTGACCATTGGTCAATTTTCAGATTTCTTGAAAGATTAGTGAGTACGCTTGAAGAAAAAAAGCATCATGAATCGAAATTGAAAGAGGGTTTAAAAGATTTAGCTATCAAACGCATGGAACTTCAAAATTCATTGTCCTCAGTTTGGCCTAAGCAAGTGAGTTTAAAGAAAAATGTTTAACTCTATATATTGTTACTATGAATTATGAAATGTGTTTTTATAAAAGATGGTGTGTGTTTAACTGCAGGAAGCAGCAGTTGCAAAAACCAGGGAGTTGAAGAAGGTTTGTGAGACTACACTTTCATCCATGTTTGATGGAAGGCCTGTAAAGATTATTGGAGAGATCAACAGCATGTTGAGTATCGCGGGTGCCTGAAATGATATAGTATTTATCGTCATGTTCTTAAAACAGTTAAGACTTAAGACACATAGTTTTTACTTTTTATAGGTAAATTCTATTTAGTATGAATTAGAATGCATCATCCAATTTCATTATGAATGCTATGTGTTCAAAGTTCAAACCAGTCTCATTTTTTGTTGGCATTAGACCCGATTAACTGATTTGGGCCGGTGACAGGCCCATAACTGGAAGCCTGGTTTCAATCCAAGAAAGCCTGACCAGTTATATTGGTTAGGGGATTTGATATTTTCCTAATTTTTTAAAATAAAATCCGCTATATAGTTGTTTGAGGCCATTTTGGCACAGTTTCTCGTATTTTGTCAAGTCCGTTGTAAAATAACTTTTTTGCGAAGGGACCAAAATTGTTAAAACCAATATACTTAAGAGACTATTTCTGACAAATCTAAGTAAAAAAGAAATACACGTTTTGCCAACCTTACACATTCCCCTCCTATGCTTCCCTAGTCGTCGACAGTTTGCCTCCCTAGTCGCCGTCTCCGTAATCAGTCACCACCCAGTGGCGGATGCAAGCTTTGCTTAGTGGGGTCCACTTAAAAGTCAAGCAAAATTTTCTACTCTTTTTTACAATATTGTATAGTTAGCCCCCATGGCCATATATTTAGATATTTTTTAATATTTAATATTTTTATTTTTTATAAGAGATCGTCCCATGTTTTGGTTTTAGATCCGCCATTGTCCACGTCTCTATCTCTATCGCCAACCACAACCTCACCTCCTCCATGCACAATGATGCCACCACCATTCTATCCTCGATGTCAACAACGAAGAAGAGAGCCAGGAGGACCTTTTTAAAAACAACAAAAACCGAAGAAAAAAAATAAGATGTTAACGGAATCAAAATTCACCTAGAAACCTATAGATATAAGTTAGATTACAATTACAACTTTGTGTTTTGTTTTTGTTTTTGAATTACAACACTATTCATTTTGAATATGATATTTCAGGTTTCTGATTTTAATATATATTAGGTGTAAAGCTCGTGTATTACACGGGTTGATTAAAAAAAATAAATATTAAAATGTAAACATTAAATATTTTTTAAATAAAATTTTAAAATAAGAAATAAAGAAATCTATTAATTATAATTACTATCATATTTATTACATTTAATACTTTACATATATAAATATATAAATATTATATGGCTTTTTAATTTTAAAAATTAAAAAAACTCAGAAATTGACATGTGGATATTATTTATTTCAAAAATATAATAAAATGACAAGTGTCCAAACTCATGAGAGATTGACGTGTGGCAAAATAGATCTTCATTTATTATAGTTGATTTTCATTTGTTTTGAATCTATTTATTACAACTTCTAATTTTATTGTGGTACTAGGTGAATCCTTACGCCTTGCTTAGGAATATAATTATATAGTTAAAATAATAATTTTTACAAAATTATTATTTAATATTTTTACTTTGAAAGCCAATGTTAGTAGTAAAGCAAACTTATAATTAACATATTAGTTTTATTAAACACTAGATGTTGACCCGCGTAAAACGCGAGGGAACATATAAAATTGTACATATAAAAGTATAAAAAAGATGACACTACAAAAAAAAAAAAGATAAAGTAACAGAAACAGACTTAGCATTATTGGTAACAATGAAATGTCTGAAAAAAAACAATTAAAACCTGAATATCTATAATCGTTGAAGGACCTCTTTGTAGACATAACTTTTTGTTTTATTAGTTGGACGACCTTCCTCGTCATATATGAGTACCTTCTGTCCTTTTTCACTTGTGACGCTAGAAACAAAAAACATAAATCTGACAATGAGTGAAGACAAGCCTACGCAAATATAATCCAACATTTGATAATTATTGTCATTGACTTTTGTTAATAGCCATAACAAAATAAACAACTATGGGGAATTGCCTCCGCTGAAAACAGAATGAGATTCTTTTATTAGATGGTGTTAACTTCACGCAAGGTATATAAGTAGTCTCGTTGAAATCTAACATATATGATTCAGGCTTTAGTGACGTGTCTTCCAAGTCTAACAATCTGTAATCTAGTACCATTGCATAGTCCTTTGGTTTGGTCGATATTACGAAGTAACATGACTGAAACACCTATTTTTAGTGTAAGTTTATGGTTGGAAATTCTATATGCCTTAAAACCATTCAAACACTACTAAAGAGTAGATTGATTCCTCAAAAAAATCTCGTAACTCTGTCTCACGTAAAGAATTTGAACTCATATGTTTTCTCTTCATCTTTCATCAATCCTAAAATGTACTCATTGGTAGCATCAACTCTTCATTTGTAGGGACCAAAATAGCTTTATCTTGAAAATATGATGGATCATCAAGATGGTTTTCAAAGGATGGATAAATGGTGGATACAATTGAATGAATATGGTCACCTGTAGAGTAAACGACAACGTCTTCTGTAAATTTAACTTCAACTTCACCATCATTAGGGCCACCGGTATTACCTTCACCAATTTTAAGAATCCACTCATTAAATGTTTTTGTCTCATCAAAATCATTAGTTAGCAACCAAACTAAAGCTTCATGTTTACGGTTAAACTTAAAACTGTACATTCAAGCCATAATTTGGATGAATATGATGCCTGCACAATATCCGAACGATTGCCTCTTTGTATTGCTGGAAGAATTTGTCTAAAGTTACCTCCAAATAAAATGGTATTGCCTCCAAACGATTATGGAAGATAAATACCTACAAAGCAATGATATCCTCTTTGTCGACCATATTTGATGTATAGACTTCACTGTCATTGAACTGTTCATCAGAGTTTACTAATACTTTTGTATTGACATGTGATATCCCTCTAGACAATGTCACATAAAGTTGGCTAGGCGAGAAACCGATTCTGGGAGATAAATACCTACATTTGGAATTGTTTTTCCCTGAGCTTTATTGATTTCCATTACGAAACATAGTCAAATTAGAAATTGTTTTCTTATCATCTTGAATGGAAACATGTCATCTTCATGCAAACATAGAGGAATCCTTGGACCAAATCTCTAGAATAGTTTATTTCGACTATTAGTGATGCAACGATACCAAATAGTTTCTTTCGATGATTAGTTTCACACGATTATTTAGGGGTTTAAGGTTTAGAAGGAGGGTGTGTTGCAATAAATATTAGCAAATTGGTTAAAAAATGGGACTTATTTATGAATGCAAATTTGTATATTTACTTAGCAGGAACATGCTATACTTTAAAGAACACAGAATATATTGTTCTTTTATCATCCCCCATTCATATATAAGTATACATTAATCCTAAACAAAATAAATAGTTATTTTGTCAAAATATATGTTTAAAAACTAAAATAATATGTGAAGTTTATTTTAAAACAGGTTGATGCTAGTACTCTTTTTCGTAATATGATTTTCATATATGAAAAACATAAACCATGATTACTTTTATAATTTGACAAATTAAAACATGATTACTTTTATATATTTAGACAAATTTTTTGTATAATTTTTTTAGAACATAATTAACCGTTTAAAGATCATAATGAAATAGAGAATCGATTAATTGGTTGCTATACTATTTTTATTTTTATAAGGTGGTAATCTCGTTATGTCTTATTTAAAAACTTATATTATAATATTATATATATAGATATATATATTATATATATATTGATAAATACAAAATAAATTCATATATTGTTATAATTCTACTTTTATTCCACAAATAAATAAGTAAAATTATAATGTAAATTGTTTTAAAATAAGCTAAATAAGTAATCAGATTTACATAATAATTATATAAATTTTAGAATTAAGACAATTAATAAAATAAAAAGATTATGGTTTAACTTTTGCATTAGTAACGTAATAGTATATAAAGAGGAATAGTATTGGGTTTTAAATGATTTTACAAAATGATTATTTAAAACTAGTCATTCAAACCTTATTATTGTAAAAAAAACGCTACTGTCAAAATAGCTATTAGATATTTCACAAAGAAAAGACAACACTCTCCTATATGTAGGTATTATAGGTATTTATCCTTTGTACATGTTAAAGTAGAAAAATCAACAGGGGAAGCTAAACAATTTACGATATACCTAAATAATCAAATGCATGGCAACTCGATAACATTAATTGAAAATGTTCAAGGTTTAATGTTGGAAGTTTGATGTATAATTTGGGAATTGATTCAAGATTTACTACAGTTCAAAGTTCGTTGCCTGTTTTGGAGGATTACTCAAAGTACATTGCTAATCTCAGTGGGGTCACTAATATGGTTGATGGTCTGATCTTGGTTGATGTGATGTGTTATTCTCAATCATGAAATAAATATGGATTGTCCAAAGACCATCTGTTGAGTAACACCTAAGTGAAACATTTTGTCACATTTAGAACAACATAAATCCATTACCTTGCATGGGAGAGTTGGGTAGGGTCAATCAATTTTTACAAAAAGACCTTATTACAGTAAATTAAGAACATCAAGTCTTGAATATGCAACATTGTTTTGTATATTGATCACATTCTTTCTGGTAAAAAAATCCTTCAAAGGTTTCATGGTAATGATCATTAGAAAGTACAAAACATGTCAAATAACTATTTAGCTTTATTACATCTCGAAGTTATTTCATATGAACATCTAAATGGTGTGTAAGCTATTAAAATGAATAAAGATTTTGAATAAATTGAGTTAGTCAAAACTGGGTTTTTCTTTTTCTTGTTCGGGTTGTCATATCAGGATTTTATCCTTTTCCAAAAAGATTTCTGTAACACTCTGTTTATTTATTAGATAAATAAATTAGTTAATGAACAAATCGTAGCCCTAAAATTTATAATTATATAGCAAGGTGTTGGTTTTGGGAAGCCAAATGCCATAAGTTGGATTACTCGGGGGTCAAAGTATAAATTCGAGATTTATTTTGTAAAGATTATAGAAGGCGGGGGATAAAGAGTTAATTATGGACCTCATTTGAAAATAATTGTAGAGGAGGGGCTGCATGGTAATTATGAGGACTTAAGTTGAAGGGTCTTTGGTTGGCCAGGGTTAAAAAGGTAAAATTCAGACTTCAATTGTAAAGGATTCAGGAAGCAGGGGTC